CTTTTAGTGTTTTATGAGTGAGAATATTTTATTGTAATTTATATATATATATATATATATATATATATATTATTGTTAGTCTTTATAGTTTCATAAATTTTAAATTTTAATCTCTACATTAATCGATGATAGAGACTTAAAAAAAAGTAATTAAAATGAAACATTTTAACTTAAAAGTTTATTAAATTTAAATAAACCTTTATTAAATCAAGAACAAAATTCAAATAGTAAAATTTATAAAATTATAGAGAAAAAAGTGTAACTAAACCTTTATTAAATCAAGAACTTTAATAATCTCATCAACTTGATCTAAATTGTAAAAGCGAGAAAATTATTAGTTACACGAGTAAGTCTTACCAAATATACACATTTAATAATATTTTAGGAGACAATATTCTGCTTTTCCTAAAAGATGTTAGCCTCGCATTTAAGGTGTGGAGTTCTATCCTTAGATTTACAAGTCGTGAACTTTCTCGCGTAGCGACTAGTTTGTGTGGTATAATTCTTTGATTCTTACCACATTTATTAAAAATATATATATATTTGGTGTCAACGGATTTATTTAGTCTGGTGAAATGTACATCTTTTTTATTATTTGATAGTCATACTATGCTACTCAGACGAGGGAGAGGAAGAAGATTCCGAGCGGTGCACAAAACAAAATTAAGCAAAAACAAGCAGATACATTCCTTTTGTCTTTGACAATAAAACAATCGCATACATTTTCGCATGATGACAAAACATGGTTTCACATAATTCGCAAACAACACTTTTCCTACGCAAAACACAAGTCAAGAAGAAAACATATAAGTCCACAAGAGTTGCGTGCTTTTCCTGAAAACATTTTAGAAACTTGGGATGGATGTTCTTCAACACGACATAGTAGCTGCTGCAGCAAGAAGAGCAACTCCAAAGGACACCAAGGTTGTCCCATGAGTGCTAACAGAACTTTTAGCACCGGAGCTGTTCTTGGATGACTGAGCCTGATCATCATCTTCTGCTGAAGAGCTATCTTTATCAGCCTTAGGTGCCTTGGCCACAGCTGGTGCTGGAGCTATAGCCTTAGGCTTAGAGAAGTCCAAAGGAATGAGCACCTTGTCCACATGATATATGGCAAGTGTCTTATCAGTGTACACAATGCCTGTGAGTGTGGCATTCACCACCCCAGTTGATATGTTCACACTGTTACCATATGCTGTCACATTTATCTGATACCCTGTGGGGCTATCACTGGCCAGTGTCAGCACAGGGTTGCTCAGAGAATCGAAGTTGGAGCTGGAGACATAAACGGGAAGAACATGAAACTGTATCAGTGCTTTTTGTTGCCTATCTCCCAGGGAGTTGAAGTACCCTGCTTTTAATTCTGAGAAGGCACCATCATCTGGTGCAAGGATGGTTAAGCCTCCGTTTTTTGAGGTCACAAGTTGTGCATTCACTTGGTTGATTATTTGTGTGGTTTTCAGGAACCGGATTAGTGTGTTGAATGATATGGCCTTCCTTAGAATCTTCACAATGTCTTGGCTGGCAGAAGAATCAGGACCTGATGAGGGGGAATTAGGCAATGCCGGGACCAACGGTTTTGCAGGCGCCGGAGCCGGTGTGGAGGGGGCAGGTTTTGCTGGTGCAGGTTTTGCTGGGGCTTTAGGGGCTGCAGCTGGTGACTGAGCTAAAGTGGTTATTGAGAAAATGGGAGCAAATAGTAGGAGTGAGAAGAAGAAGAGAGTTTGCTTCATCTTCTTGTTGCCGAAGATTAATATACTTCTAAATAGCTAATGAATTGGAAGTTGTTATTGCAAACAATGTTTTGATGTGTGGAAGGTGGAATGGAGGAGGGTGCTTATATAGATGCCAAGTGAATGGTAATTAGGTACAAGGTTTAGTTGTAAAATAACTTATGATTGTATTTTGTGGGGATACCTTTTCTCTATCTGTTAGAAAGATTAAGGTAGTCTATCAAGGCAGATAATTGATTGAGAAGTGGATTTGGCTGCTGTATGGTTTGGCCTTTTGCTTGGAAATACAGGGAAAATTGAATAAGAAGTGAGATCTCATTTGGTTGTGAGCTGATGATAAAAGATGCACTCAGTACAGAAAAAGAAGCACCCTCTATTATCATTCAGGTAAGCAGATGTGAAATCAAATCAATCAGTATTAAGCAAGCTGTAGTAACTGTTAAAGCCTTTTTTTTTATCATTTGTTCAATTATTAATCCAAAAGCCAGGTTGGGAAAACTAATAAATGCCTCACTTCCTTAAACATAACAGAAGTCAATTCATTGTTGCAGTCTGGGAGATAAACATCCAGATCGAAGTCAGGTTCTCTAATCGTAATATTCTATTATGACTAATATACTTTCTTCCATCTTAACAATTAATCAACACAACACTGCTTTCTGAGATTCAAGAGCAGATAAGGATTATTTTGCTTTCAATTATATAGAACAAGGTAAAAAATGCTGCTATTCATGGCGGAAGATCTAGAGACTAGTGCTTGAAAGGGACATTGTTTTATATTTGCTATCTTAAACTGCTTTATCAATTTCTCTTGTTCTGTGATTTGTGATATCTATACTAATAAGTTCTGAATAATCCTTAAAAGTAAGACTCGGGATTCGGGAGAAATAATTAATTGCAGTGTTCATTTGGTTGAACAATACCTCTGGACTCTTATAACAAGGTTAGTTTGCAACCCTCGTGGTCAATTCCAAATGGGATTCCTACTCGATCCAACTTAATTCCACCACAAAGATCATCTAGGATGACAAGGATCCTCTGTTATTTCTTTATCCTATCACACAGAAGTTTAGCTCTTCCAACCAAAATCTCCTCACCAAATATCAAACCTAACATGTTCCCAAGCTCTTCTTGAATCCACTTCAGGTCTGGCTGTTTTGTGATATTTGCCATCACAGTTACATCAAAAAAGTTATCTCTCACATGTTTGTTTCATAAATTTTTCAACTATTCAAGAGCAGCCCCCATTGAATCTGCTTCCCTGATTTGTTGTGCTGTGAAGGATCTACAATCCTAATAGTTAAGTGGAGGTTTTATTGCAACAAATTAAGTTGGTTTTACAAAAGGGCTTGAAGAATTAAAGTCTGAAAACCAATAGGGAATATCAGAAACACACATAAAATTTCAGTTCATCTTTACATGTGATAACAAAAAATGTATCTCTGAATTTGAGGTGAGAGAAGCCTCCAAGAAATGGAAAGGTAAGTAGGAGAAAGGAAATTCACATTAATCACCACCACTCATTGTTACAATATATCTGCTCTCAAAATAACAGAATGAGGTAACAAAGTTATTGTAGAACTAGAACTAGAACTGTTCTTTCTAGGGTAAACAAAAAAAAGAGGATACCATAAGTACACGAAGTCGTCCCATCCTTTGGGTCTTTGAATCAGTCTTTTGATCCTAAATAGTCCAACAGGCTCATTATCAGAGT